GTTGCGTCTTGCTATTGTATCCCCGAGGTATGCCCGAGGAATATTATTGCGGTGTGCACGATGCGGACTACTCAATGAGAAATGATGATTGAATCGACGTCGATTCGTTGTCGAATTGATGTCAAATTTGTCGAATCGATGACAATTTGACCAATCATTTTTCACTGGGTATATAAATGCAAATTTACTGGCGGAATTGCGGAAACAAATAAAAATGGCGATCTGTCCTCGCTGAAGCGGTTATACATAAGTCTGCGGAGATGTTTTTCCGAGCAAGAAGACATAAATAAATTCAACGTGCAATTGACTGTGGAATATAGAACTTTTTTAAATCGGAAATTGTTGTATTTGGTAACCGATCGAGCGACATTTTGTTTGTTTAAATGCGCATTTTCCGCTGGAGAACTTCTTGTATTAGACGGCTTGGTGTGCTTTCTAGTAACGAAACAATGTTACACAGTTCAGGCTTCTTTTTCTTTAAGTTATTTATCATCTACAGTATTTACTATTATCTAAATAAAATTATAAAGATTATTATCTAGATAAAATTCTGTTATTTTACCTTTCGATAATAAATATATATATTATCTATACCTGCATCTTAGATGAAAAAATTAAGTGTTATCATTACTAAATTACTTAGAATAATGTTCAGATAATTTGATTGAGAGTCATAGCCAGTGTTTGCTGATCTTTAAATAAAATTATATAAATGATCTGGATGAAATTTTGACGTCATTTTATCTTTATATAGATAATAAAAATATGTTTATTCTACAGCTGCATCTTATATAAAAAAAGTGTTATCTTCATTAAATTATCTAGAATATATTGTTCAGATAATTTTAGGTTTAAAGTCATTTCACATACAGATAACTATTGTCTTAGCGAAGACGTTATGTACGTTTGTTTTCAAGCTCAATATGTGAATTCCGAGATACATGTTATTATATTTTGACCTTACCGGGTAACGAATCCGTAAGTACGCGAAAATCAACCAGTCCAGAGCTGGCCGGCAATGTGACAAGACACTCGAGAGCATAGCGAGCGCGAGATAATTTGTAACGAGTCACTTGATAAGTCTTATATTGTTTTTAATAAAGAGACTTCTCTTAACATCCCCTGTAAAGAAATAGGCGAGAAAAATATTGGTCCGAAAGTCGGCTGAATCGGGAATCGAACCCGAGACCTTCCGCTTGCCGGGCGACTGCTCTTTCAACTGAGCTATTCAGACACTTACAAATTAATATTTCTCTCAATTTTTATACCCTCCCCCCACCCCCCACCAAAGCGTCGTAATTAGGTCTTTACAGGGGATGTTAAGAGAAGGAACAAGGGGAATTTTTGAGATCCCAACCATAGGATTCAAATTCCTTAGTTTCCAAATCTTCTTTCTTTTTTAATTGTCGCAATAACATCGCGTTTGGCTCTATTGGTCGAGAGAAATGAAGTGTAGATTGTGGTTTTAAAATTAAAAAGAGCTGACTTAAAAAGTATTCTTATTATAAAATATATGTATATATATATATATATATATATATATATATATATATATATTTGACAGGCATATATATATATATATATTTGACAGACATATATATATATATAATATATATATATATATATATATGCCTGTCCAGTAATCAATTTAGAAATTTAATTTAAAAAAAAAATTCGAAAAATATAATGTACACTAAAATATATTGTAATTAAGAGTGCATTAAAAGTTGTTTCAACATTTGAATTCAAGATAATCTTTTAAACATTTTTCCGATAAAAATAAAATCTGCGATGGTTTGATCGACGATACTGAAATATATCTTAATTAATTATAAAGTCTTACCGCGTGCTTTCTCTTTGCCAAGAGTGACCCAAACAACACAAGTGCAAAATATATTATTTATCAGTAATACAGATAGAGAGCCGTTGCCACCCGGAATACGATGTAACGTCAAAAGATAGCCATCTTCTGTCGTTACAATGTGAGTTTCCGTGGGAGAACCCGCTTTTCTTATTATCTGCAGCTGAAGAATTAAGTAAAATCAGTAAAATAAATATATATTTATTTTTACATAATAATTGTGTTTCTATACATTAATAATAACATAAATATAAAATATTACATATATAATATGTAATTAATATAAAGTATAATTATATAATAACAACAGTAATAAATATTTATAAAATCCAACATAAATTTGAATAAATATTAATAATATCTAATAAAGTATATAATTATAATTTTTAGGGTAAAGTATTTTTACAAAGTAAAATGTAAAGCTCAATTGTAATTGTTTTAGAAAGAAATTGTAGAGGATTATATTGTTGTCCATATTTCTTACATATGTACAGGGTTTGTCCGGAAAGTAATGCGTCGCATTTTTTTAAAAAAGAATTTATTGATCGCATAGGTAAAACAACTTAAAATTGTTCGAAGTATGACCCTTCTGCGTCAATACATTTTTGCCAACGCGATTTCCATGCGTCATAAGATTTCTGGAACTCCTTGACTGGGATGCTGTTCAGGGAGGCCGTCGAAGTAGCTTGTACGTTGTCAACCGACTCGAGCTGTTGTCCTTTGAGCTCCCTTTTCAGCCGAGGAAATAAAAAAAAGTCCGCCGGCGCCAAGTCGGGACTGTAGGGCGGCTGCGGCACCGTTGCCACACCGATCCGGGTCAGGTAGGCCGTAATAACAAAGGCGGTGTGAGCCGGCGCGTTGTCGTGATGGAGTTTCCATGAAGCGCGGATCTCCTTTCGGACGCGGGCGATCCTGTGATTCAGTCTCTGAAGCACTTCCTTGTAAAATTGAGCGTTGACAGTCTGGCCGGGGGGTACGAATTCATGGTGCACTATCCCCTTTGCATCAAAAAACAATGAGCATTGACTTCACCCGGGACTTGCTCATGCGAGCCTTCTTCTGGCGCGGCGACGACGTCGTGTGCCATTCCGCACTCTGCCTCTTTGACTCCGGATCGTACTGAAAGACCCATGACTCATCCCCAGTGATAACGTTGTTCAGGAAATTGGGATTATCTGCACAGAGTTGCTTGAGTCTTGTCCAGCTTCACGCAAAACTTTATCGCATAGCGTTGCTCTATCGTTCTCTCCATCACAAGTTCGACGCGACCACTAAGCAGAGGTTCACAGAATAAGCCGTCCTAACCCTCCAAGCGCATGGAAACAATTGAGCGACCTACCGTTGGAAAGCTAAGGGTACCCCCCTTCCTCCCCAACCGGTCCCATCACTCTGCGATGTATAGTCGCGTCACAAAAAAATGCGACGCATTACTTTCCGGAAGAACCCTGTATATCATCGCAAATGAAATAATTTTAATGATTATTGCGTTATTAGAATATACATATAATTATGTATTTACTTTTAATCATATTAAATATACTTTAATAAATATCATTAAAAAGAAAAAAATTGCATATGACGTGTAATATCTAAGAAAACTTTATTTAATCTATACTAATAATATATAAAGAGGTAAAGATTGTTTGTTTCATTGTTTGGGGTAATCTCAGAAACTACTAGATACTCAACCGATTAAAAAAAATCTTTCATAGGTGAATAACTTAGATCTTTCTGAGTAACATAGGCTATATGCAATCGTCTTGCAAACTTCTAAAAATGTGCGCGTATTGTACAACAAAATTCTTTACGTTCTTTACGCTTTATATTTTTCCAACAATTTTATAATTTAACGTTGCAGCGTAAATAATTCATACTATATTCATACAAATGTACTGGTGAAGATTTTATCAAAATCGGTCGTGTAGTTTTTACGCTAAATTATTAAATTATTGGAAAATATAAAGAGCAAAGAACGCATTTTTTGTACAACGCGCACATTTTTAGAAGTTGTAAGACGATTGTACATAAGCTATGTTACTCAGAAGGATATACACCAGTAAAAAATTTATTAGTTTCTCAGATTATTTCACACAATGGAACAAACAAACTTTACTTCTTTATATGTATATTAGTATAGATATAGATAAAAATATAGACAAGTAAGTAAGTACTATATAAAACATCGGCTTAAAATCTACTTGCCCCCTTGTCGCGTAAAAATATAAAAATGTAAAGCAAATCATGATAAAATAAAGAAAACACATAAAAACATAAAAGTTTAATTTTAGAAAACATCAAAAATACAAGAAAAATCTTTAAAAAACTAACATATGTAGATTATTAGTTCAAGTTTAAAAGTATATTAATATTATAGTATAAAAAATAATGTGCAAACTCTAAATAAATAATAACATACTAAAAATGAAAGTATATTAAGAATAAATAAGCTATAAGAGCTAACCGCGGATGACGTTGATTACACCGAGAATTTGCTTATTTCTCCTTAATCATTTGTAGAAAAAAAGGCGAAAAAAATAATGATCCGAAAGTCGTTGAATCAAAAACTGAACCCGAGTCTTTCGAATTTAAATTCCAATTGTTATTTGCGCATCCTCATAAATCCGCAACTATATACCGAACGCACAAAGCACGCGAGAAACAAGTGTCAGTTAATAATTTATAATCTACACAAATGATCAAAGCCGGATCTAGATATTTTCTCACACGAGGCACTATTAGCAATTGACGTCCCTTTTTTCTACATATGCACAAATGCATGTCAAAATAACATAAGCTTGGTAGGTACTTGAATTGCTACATATTAATATCATTTTCGCATTTTTATAAAAAACTTTTTTAAAAAAATTGTTCAATTTATTGTTCATTTTTATGCCCTCTTATGTCTTTCATCCGAAACGAGTGCTTAGCTCGCTCTAGATCCGACTCTGCAAGAAACATTGAAGGGATATTGAATTGATTAATATATTTAAATCATTGAGAAGATTCTATGGTATTTAATAGCGGTTGGTCACCAGTCAAGAATAAAAGCCAATAGAGTGCAAACATCTATAAGAGGAGAAAACTTACTATGTTAAAAACGTTAAAAATATTATGTGTTTTACTAAAAATATTTATGCTAATGAGGACGGCATTCACGTCCTCTTCGAAGGATCAGGAAGATTGTCTAACTCAGGTCAGTTTGCCGAAAATTTATTTTTTGAAACACTCTGATCTACACTTAAAGAGTGCTTTACACGATGCTGTTTTTATTTGTTTTGAGTAAGTTTTTTAATTTATCAGCGAATTCGCTGATAGAAACTTTTTCTAGATGTTCGTTTTTTATTCTTTTTATTGCTAGCTTTTCATTTTTGATTCAAAACGAATTTCTGGCTGAGACGAAGTCGTTACCGTCAAATCATTTACACGTTGTTGATAAAGAAAAATAAAGTCGCAAGCGTTTAACAAAAATTTTTCTCGCATATGCGCAGGATGCCGAATTATTTGCTATTTGCTTGGTTATTTATTCGCTACCATCTTTACACGGAGCGTTTTTTGATGCTGCTGCTAGTCGCTCAGTTAGTTCGCTTGACGAGAGCGTTAATTATTTTATTATTAATATTAGACGTCGTGATTAAATTAAATGTTATATATACTACAGACAATGGATTGTTTGTGATATTAATCTTGCATGTCACTATTTATGTAAAATTAATGATATAAAAAAAGTAAAGTTTAATTTTACGTCATATATTTAAAGATTGATGTTATATTGTTACACATTTAAATTTAATTGTAATGAATATTTAAACTTAAACGTAACATATGTTGATAAAATTGTTTTGTTACAAATTGTTAATATTAATGATTTTGTTATTTATTCCATATATCTTCTGTTACATGATAAACATACATGTATGTATATCACATTTTTTATACACACATTCTCATATTATTCTCTTGTGATGTTTAAAACTTTTCTCAAATATTTATATTTATTAATTTCTGTGTAAAATTTTTAAGTAAGTTATTTATTATTTAAAGTAATCAATATAAAAAATTAGGACTTTTCAGGATAAATTGCATGCGTAGAAAACTACTAAATATTGAAATAGGAGTTCGGTACAATAAATTGCGTTCTCAATCAAACAGTTTCAAGGCCAATAATATACACAGCAGCTATTGTTTTTTATATGTTCCAGTTGATATACAATTTATCATTTAAAGTATACGTTAACACATATATGTACATGAAATTAATATAAAAACTAAATTATTAGACAAAATTGTTTTAACAATTAAAGAGAACCGGGCTTGTAAGACTCACAGTTATATATATACAAAGTGTCCGGTAACTAACGGACCAACAATTACAAAGGGATTCTTTGGTCAATTTGGGAACGATTTTTCCTCAGCAAAAATGTCGAAAAAGGTCATCATTTTTTACAACTTTCCAATATTTGTTATTATGTATCTTTATAACTAAGCCTCAAATTAAAATTTTATTATAGTAAACTCTACCTGAAATTAACTGAAGAATGTAATTATGTTAGACTTTTAACTTCAAAACGTTTAGTTTTCAAAAAACCCATTGTTTTCAATCGCTTATAATTCGAAAATTATTGACTTCTCAACAGTTTTGCTAAGGAAAAATCGTCTCCAAATTGGCCAGAGAATCCGCCTTTAATCATTGGTCCGTTAGTTACCGGACACCCTGTATATATATATATATATATATATATATATATACTACTGTGGGCAAAAACATTGGGAAATTTGAATTTAAATGGTGTGGTGCATTATGAATTCCTTCCAACCGGCCAAACTGTCAACAAAGAATACTATTTGGGTGTTATGCGTCGTTTGCGTAATGCTATGCGTCAAAAAAGACCGGATTTGTGGAGAGACAATTCTTGGGTTTTGCATCACGATAATGCACCATCTCACACTGCATTCGTAATTTGTGATTATTTCGCCACAAACTCGACCCATATCGTTCCGCAATCATCGTATTCGCCTGACTTAACACCATGTGACTTCTGGCTATTCGCTAAACCAAGAGACCGCTCCGTTGACACCGTTTTGAATTGATAGAAGAGATAGAAACCGAAACGAAGAAGGAATTAAAGGCTATACCGGAAAAGGACTTTGCAGCATGTTTTGAAAATTGGAAAAAACGTTGGCACAAATGTATTGCATCCGGGAGGGACTACTTTGAGAGAGATGAAATGAATTTAGAAGAATAAATAAAGATTTTTTGATTTATAAACAAATTCCCGGTATTTTTGCCCACAGTAGTATATATAAATTCTTCATAACTTTTATTCATCTAATCGTGCGTTTTTTTTTGCAACTTTCTTTTTAATGCAAAAAATTTTTGGTTTTTAAAAAGATATTTTGATCAGAAACACAATAAGAACAATTTCTTTAAACGGTGTTTTACACAGTATGTTATATATTTCTTTCTAGTTCTATTTTATAATAATTTAACTTAGCTCAATGCATGTCATTTATGTAATTATAAAAATATCGAAAACAGTCATCTTTTTGAATAAGTGATAGTTACTTGATCCAAATGACTTAATGACTTATTTTAATTATTTGATTATCTGCAAAAGCAAAAGAAGGGCCATTTCTATTTGTAATAAAATTGAACATTAATTTGAAAGTTGGGATTTCTATCACATATACATTAATTTTACTATTTGGAATTTTGCATTTATTACTCCAACGACTTATTTATTAAATTATTTGCGAAATAAGTTTTAATCTAATCTCACATTATGTACTGTTCATCATGTGATTCAATGGAATAGTAGATTTTTATAAGTTATATGATGCATATTTATTACTAGGATAACCCATCCTTCAGATTCATCGATGTCCATGAGTACGTGTCATCAAATCTCGAATCTGTTCAGTATTATTTTGAAAACGACACTGTGAGAGTAAGAAATGAAGTCGGTAAGAGTTCATTTGTAAAGTATAAGTATTTTTAAAAGCTCCTATTTGTAAATATTTCAAAATCTAATAAGTTTTAAAAAATATGCATATAAATGTATATAAAATGTTGTGTATGTACATTTATTTCAAATCATCAAAATTTATTATGAAATAATATAATCTAAGCATGCGTTAAAATATAAGTACTAATTATTAACTTTTATCGCTTATATTTGTTTAATATTTTTCTCTGAATAACGATTCATGAAAACAATAACGAGGAGAGGTTTATACTTACAAAAAATGTTATAATTAGACATATATAAATACAGCTGAATGAATTAAAACTTGTAGTTTTTGAAGGAAAGATGATATTTTACATTCCGCATATGATTATGATTTTTACAACGTTGCCATAATATGCGGTATTTATTTAATTTCATTCCTTTTTTGACAGACCATGTATGTCAATATATATATATATATAAGGTAAAGGTACCGATTATGAGATACCGCATTTACATTTTCTATGCATGATTTTATGAACTAGAACGAATTACATACATACTGGACCCTTACATATAATTGAGTATACATTTTGCTTCAAGGAGAATCTACACCATCTTCAGAAAGCATTCCAAGCGAGCCAACGTGTCCTAGAGCATTTGTGGAATTTAACGACAGACTAAATCAGAAAGACATTATTGTGACATTCAGGTAAATAATGAATACTTGTGTTCTTAAATCTGGTACTTTGCAGTGTTTTAAGTTTTATTTTATATACAATACAATGTGTACATACAGTGTATATACAGGGGTTTCTTTTAAGCGGTGCTCAAAATTTGAAGAATGGATTCCTTATGCTGATAGAGAAGAAAAAAGGTATAGATATGTATGAACATAGGTCCGAAAAAGATTAGTTTTTTAGTTATTTAGATTTATGTAATACAAAATTTTTGTCCCATTTCTCGTCTTACAATTAGAGGAAATGTTTTAAATGTCCACCATGTCTGTAAACATAGACCGGCGGACTTGAAAAACATCGTTGATACCTTTAAATGAAGACTTTTAAGACGAGAAATGAGACAAAAATTTTTGTTACAAAAATCTCAAAACTCAAAACTAATCATTTCCAGACCTATGTGTGTATAACTTTTGTCGTCTCTAAGTATGAGAAATCCATTCCTGAAATTTTGCCACTACATATGAAATACCCTGTATATGGAAGGTGGTACAAAAAAAATCAGAACGGCGAAAAATCTCGAAAATATTACATATACTTTATGAAAAAAATGTTCTAAATAAAAGTTGTAGGATTTCAAAGGATTTTTACTTGCTTTATTAGTTTCATTTTAGATAACGTTTTTAAGATTATTTCAAGGTCAACCCGATTTTCTAAATGAAACTATTCTATATGTCTCGTGTAAATAGATAATTATATGTAAATGGATTTCAGAAATTTGTTAAAAATAAAAAGATATAATATTTTATATCCTTTATAGGTGGAACAAACCTAAATTTACAAATGGAGTGATACAAAAATATACAGTTCAATATTGGTTTTTTGAGAATCAAATAATTCATAGAAGAGTTGCTATAATCTCAAATTTCACGATATTGCAACTTAAAGTGTACAATTTAAAACCTGATGAAGTGTATTATTTCAAAGAACAAGCGCATAACAAATTTGGTGCTGGCACTTATACTAAGTTTATCAATGTGTCGACCACACATGAGAATCCAGTACCTTTATTACTCGTCAAAAAGAAAAGTGAATTTTATGTATTGGATATAGATTTATAGATCGGCTTTGAACGTGATATCAAGAGACACGGTAGTGTCTCGCGACCAGTTAAGGGCGTAGCGGAGACACCGTGTATCTTAACGCGAGTCGGACATTTGAGTCTTTATAATATTTCGAATCCTCAATAATGGCTGAAACAATCGAGTTTATACTAGACTTAATCGATAGATTGAGTTCGAATTATATAATAAAAGTGTCTTTATTTCTGCTCTACGTGATTTGTAAGCAGAGATATATAAATGCAAAGTCGAAATATGAAAAATTTCTATTAAGAAACGTCCCCGTCATCATTATCATCATCATTATCATCATCATTATCATCATCGACCACGCATACATAGTAGTATCGTGCTACACGTATTCACACGTATACAACACATGCGCACACATATATCACACGTACACAACACATGCAAGATGCATGTAGTGGTAATTTTGTCCATCTCGCACGTTTTACAACAGATGGCGATAGTGGCGCTCCGCCATATCGGCAGCGTGCGGGGTTATGTTGGCTAACTCTGTCTCTCTCTCTCTCTCTCTCTCTCTCTCTCTCTCTCTCTCTCTCTCTCTCTCTCTCTCTCTCTCTCTCTCTCTCTCTCTCTCTCTCTCTCTCTCTCTCTCTCCTCTCTCTCTCTCTCTCTCTCTCTCTCTCTCTCGACTCTCTCATCTCACTCACTCACTCTCTCGTCGTCTCGTTCATATCGGAGCGTGTGGGGTCTCTCTCAACTCATCACTGCTCTCTCTGTCGATTATAGTCGCGTAATATAGTACTCGCTCTTTCTTTCTAAATACTCTCTCTCTAAATCTCTCTCGACATAATTAATAATGAATTTCTAATTATATTAAACATATCAAAATAAAGACATACATGTATTTATCAAATGAATAAAATTATTGAATACAGACTTAAAAAATTTATTAAACATAAACTTAAAAAATTAATTAATTAAACATATTCCAAATTTAGAAAAAATAAACTTTATTTATATATGCAACAGCTTTTTAAACTAAATTTTTAAATTCTATTTTATATTAGACAATTATCTCAATCAACATCTACGTCCACATTAGCTGCACTGCAGACTACCTCTACAGCCACATTATCTGCTCCGCGGATATAGCGTTATGCCAATACGATACATTACATGTACTTACTTACTTGCCTTTACTGTACCAACTCTTGTTCTTTCCACGTAATCATGTTTTTACAGTTATCGTTTGCTGTATATCTTCCAGCAAACTTTATTTCGTGTGAAGTGTATTTAATTAATTAAATCTCTGCGAAAGATTGAGAAGATGAAGGGATAATTCAAACTATGAAGACATGGTTACATGGAAAAGACAAGAGTTGATACAATAATAAAGACATACATGTATTTGTATCCTGCTGGCATAAGGTTATAGAAGTTGATTGAGATTGAAAAATAATAATGAAAATAATAAAAAAAATAAAGACACATGTATTTGTATCGTGCTGGCATAAAGTTATAAAAGTTGATTGAGATTGAAAAATAATAATAAAAATAATTAAAAAAAGGAAATATTCAATCATCATTTAAAAGCATATTTGAAATCTGTAGAATAAACAGTTTTTGCAAAAAATGTGGAGCATTAGAGCTCTAGTAAGTCTAAAAATAAATGTAAACATCAATTAATAATAACTGATGTTATATATATATTATATATATAAACCAATTTGTTGCAATATTCACTATAAAAGGTTGTAAGGGTAAGATGGCTAAAAGTGAATAATTTAAAAGATAGTTAACATAATTTTACATAAACTGAAATATTTCATAGAATAAAATATTTGTAATATTTCGAAGTTTATGTAAGATTATGTAAAAATTATACCTTTACAACTTTTTATAGTAAATATTGCGAGGAATCGATTTATATGAGAAAAATTAAGGTAATTCTATTTTGAAAATATAAGTGACCTTTAAATAACCTTGAAAATCGCCGTTTAGGAAAAAGTCTGTGTCAACTTTTTCTTTTTCGAAATCCTGCAACTTTTATCTAAATTTAATAGAAAATGTATAAAAAATGCTCGACATTAGTACACACACACACACACACACACATATGGGTAAATTTATATAAATAGGGTGCTTTAGGAGGAATGATCAGGATTCTAGGATATGATTGTACACATCATTTTAAGCAAAGAAGTTTAGATAAACATGTTTAATAATTGTTCTATTCCGGTCATAAAAATATACAAAAATGAATGATATAATCTCTAAAAACTCACCTTTAAAAAAAGGTAAAAAAAGGCGACCAGTTAAGGGCACGCCATTAACAAAAATTATCCATTGCAAACCCATGTAGAATCCTATCCTATTGCAAACCCATGTAGAATCCTATAAAAAATTAATCATTGCAAACCCATGTAGAATCCTAGGCAAAATTAACCATTGCAAACTCATGTAGAATTGTATTAAAAATGATCCATTGCAAACTTATGTAGAATCCTACATTGCAAACCCATGTACAATAGAATTGTATGAAAAATTATCGATTATAAATTCATGTACAATCGTAACAAAAGTAATGAAATAAAAAAAAAATTGCGCCAAGTGAAAGTAGAAACTTGTACCAGTGGAAAATTAAAGTTGCAGACATATATAGAGTCGTATAATGAATCAGTAAAAATTTAAATTTGCAAATGTAGAATCGTACCATAAAAAAACTTATCTTTTAAAAAAAAAGATAAACAAGATGCCAAGTCCATGCGCCATGTAAAAAAGAAATAAAAAAATTTTAGTTAAAAAAACTGGGAGCGCTGCTAAATAATATTCTAACAATATTAAAATTAAATTGTTACTTTTAAACTCATTACAGTTAAAATATGTTTTGTGTTTAAATTAATTAATGTTACTTTAAGGTGCATTGTAATTTTGAAACTTAGCAGCGCGCCCAGTTTTTTTAACTAAAATTTTTTTATTTCTTTTTTACATGGCGCATGGACTTGGCATCTTGTTTATCTTTTTTTTTAAAAGATAAGTTTTTTTATGGTACGATTCTACATTTGCAAATTTAAATTTTTACTGATTCATTATACGACTCTATATATGTCTGCAACTTTAATTTTCCACTGGTACAAGTTTCTACTTTCACTTGGCGCAATTTTTTTTTTATTTCATTACTTTTGTTACGATTGTACATGAATTTATAATCGATAATTTTTCATACAATTCTATTGTACATGGGTTTGCAATGTAGGATTCTACATAAGTTTGCAATGGATCATTTTTAATACAATTCTACATGAGTTTGCAATGGTTAATTTTGCCTAGGATTCTACATGGGTTTGCAATGATTAATTTTTTATAGGATTCTACATGGGTTTGCAATAGGATAGGATTCTACATGGGTTTGCAATGGATAATTTTTGTTAATGGCGTGCCCTTAACTGGTCGCCTTTTTTTACCTTTTTTTAAAGGTGAGTTTTTAGAGATACACTTCACACGAAATAAAGTTTGCTGGAAGATATACAGCAAACGATAACTGTAAAAACATGATTACGTGGAAAGAACAAGAGTTGGTACAGTAAAGGCAAGTAAGTAAGTACATGTAATGTATCGTATTGGCATAACGCTATATCCGCGGAGCAGATAATGTGGCTGTAGAGGTAGTCTGCAGTGCAGCTAATGTGGACGTAGATGTTGATTGAGATAATTGTCTAATATAAAATAGAATTTAAAAATTTAGTTTAAAAAGCTGTTGCATATATAAATAAAGTTTATTTTTTCTAAATTTGGAATATGTTTAATTAATTAATTTTTTAAGTTTATGTTTAATAAATTTTTTAAGTCTGTATTCAATAATTTTATTCATTTGATAAATACATGTGTCTTTATTTTGATATGTTTAATATAATTAGAAATTCATTATTAATTAGATATGTAAACTATAAATTCATATATAATATTTGAAAATATATGTGAATATTTAAATTTTTATCTTCTCCTTCCTCTCCTTCAATCTCTTTAATATCAATATGTGTATGTGTGTACACGCGCGCACATTTGTACGTATTTATTTAATTATTGGATAGTTGAGAGTACTTAATTGATAAAAAATTATGACAATAATAATCCTTGTTTTTTTTTCTTATTATTTACTCAGATTTTTTTGTCTATCTTATAAGATAAACACTTTAGAGATTGAATATTTCAAGTAAACTAATTGTAAGTAAATTTCACATTAATGCATATAGATGTTTAATCATGAATGTACTGAATAAGTACACAAGACGAACAGTGAGTGAGTGAGTGAGAATGAGAGAGTGTGTGTGTGTGTGCGTGTGTGTGTGAGAAGAGAGAGAGAGAGAGAGAGAGAGAGAGAGAGAGAGTTAGCCAACATAACCCCGCACGCTGCCGATCATGAATGTACTAAATAAGTACACAAGACGAACAGTGAGTGAGTGAGTGAGAATGAGAGAGTGTGTGTGTGTGTGCGTGTGCGTGTGAGAAAGAGAGAGAGAGAGAGAGAGAGAGAGAGAGAGAGAGAGAGAGAGAGAGAGAGAGAGAGAGCTGAGAGAGAGAGAGTTAGCCAACATAACCCCGCACGCTGCCGATATGGCGGAGCGCCACTATCGCCATCTGTTGTAAAACGTGCGAGATGGACAAAATTACCACTACATGCATCTTGCATGTGTTATGTACGTGTGATATATGTGTGCGCATGTGTTGTATACGTGTGAATACGTGTAGCACGATACTACTATGTATGCGTGGTCGATGATGATAATGATGATGATAATGATGACGGGGACGTTTCTTAATAGAAATTTTTCATATTTCGACTTTGCATTTATATATCTCTGCTTACAAATCACGTAGAGCAGAAATAAAGACACTTTTATTATATAATTCGAACTCAATCTATCGATTAAGTCTAGTATAAACTCGATTGCTTCAGCCATTATTGAGGATTCGAAATATTATAAAGACTCAAATGTCCGACTCGCGTTAAGATACACGGTGTCTCCGCT